ATTTTCCTAAACCGCCTATAAAAATAATTCAAGCACCCACCTAATTTTCAGGTGTGACATCATACTTTAATTCTTAACGTAAATAAAAATTTATTTAGGTATTCGGAAAGTGGCTTGTATGTGGCAAATATTTCTACATATTCAAATTCTTAAACGATATTTGACAGGACATTATCTTCTAAATGGGATGGTCATTGCTGACCAGCCGTAGCACTTTTCACAAATCGACGCCGCTGGTCCCGGTTCTGTAACATTTTGAACAACTGAGTTATGATGAGGTCTGATTCGCCCCAATGTTCCCATTTTGCGTACCGTATAGGTAATTCTCCCCACAAACCTAACAAATTACAAAGATATATAGTAGCACAAATATTTGGGTTTGAAAAACCTGTATCTCCCATCATAGCATACCCTGTTTAATATAAGAACTTAAATGCGCGTTCCTACATATTTATATATAAGTACGACAATTGATAGGACATCGTGCCCTCTACAAGTATCCACATCTTTCGGTCGCGTGTGTTTAGCACTTCCCAAAATTTTATCAAATACACTTACACTATTTATAGGTTTAGAAAGAAATTCAGCACACCACTATGTTTTCAATTCCTTAATATAATAAGCAATTTGGGATTCAAACCAGATTTTCTTCAAATATAAACTGATAGCGCAGTGGTTCACAACCGGTCCACCGAAGGGGCCACAGAGCAGCTGGAGGGTTGAAAAACCACTGTGATACCGCATTGTTAGTAATCAAAATTTTCAACTCGCGCACCTATAGCCCACCCTTAACCTCAAAAAATTAATAAATCTGTCAAACAGCACAAATATAAGTCTTAGAAAAAGGGTCTCATGTAGCAGCCCCTACTCTGAATCTTGTATTCTTGATTCGAAACCGCATTTCCCGATTTGTCTATTAAAATCATAATTGATAGTAAATCACACCCACGACAAGCACTTCGAACTTTAATTTCCAAATTTTAGAAATATTAGTTTTCCAAGTATTAGATTTTCCCTGTTCTGTTACTTAAATATAAATACACGGTAAAAATCCGGATTCAAACACACCCCGGTATATTTATACTTATAACAATAATGGGTGCTCCCGAAGTATGCGAACCAAGATGGCGGACATCGGAACGTAACATGGGTAACAGGTTAGGGTTAGGCGATAATTTTTTTTCAATTTTCCTTATTTTAGTCCTATTATCAGTTTGAAGACTAGCCAAGAGCCTCCCGTAGTATTTATACCTAAAATTATGGCCTAACCCTAATCTAGTACACATGTTACATTCCGATGTCCGCCATCTTGGTTCGCATACTTCGGGAGCCCCTTCAAACTTTATCAAATTTTAAATATAATAAGCCATACAAGTATTAGATTTTCTCTGCTTTGTTACTTGAATCTACATAGACTGGAAAAAGTCGGGATACGAACACACTTCGGTATATATTTCTACTTAAAACAATGTCATTAATAGTACTCATACTTACTACGGGTAGTCCGGGATGTTCAAACTTCGACAAATTTTGAAATTTAATAAGCCATACAAGTATTATTGTGCCCGACCCTGTTACTTGACTCTACATATACTGGAAAATTCGGGATACGAACACGCCTTTGTATATATGTATACGTTATACAATAATATTGGCAATACCCAATACTACTCCGCGCCTTTCAAATTTTAAATTTAATACGTCGTACAAGTATTAGATTTGCCCCGCTCTGTTACTTGATTCTAAATAGACTGGAAAATTCGGGGTACCAACACGCATTTGTGTACATTTATACCTATATAATAATATCTATAGTACATGTACTACTGCAAGTGCGCCGCGCTTTTCAGACTTTATCAAATTTTAAATTAAATAAGGCATACAAGTATCATATTTTCTCTATTCTGTTACTTGACTCTAAATAAACTGGTTAAGCCGGGATTCGAACATGCTTTTGTAAAAATATTTAAACTTATACAATAATATTGATATTACCTACTACAGCAAGTGCGCGGAATTTCTATAACTTCATCAAATACCTAAACGTGCAAAGCCGTTGCCTTCCTGCTATCGACCGACTTATTTCCTTGTGTCGTTTAATGCATGCAGACAAATTCTATAGGCGTCATTCCTAATTTACATAAACTTTGAAAAAACAGTAAAAACAATCGGAATTTGAACGTTATTTGAAAGGTGATTCGATCTCAAATCACTCAAAAATTGTCATTTTATAAAAATTTTGTTATTTACCATAATGCCAGTCAACTTTATTCTAGGTTTATATCACCATTCCCATAACACTTTAAAATTTAATCAACAGTAAATTCTACATTACTTTTGATAGTAACGTCACGACGTCTTTCCTTATAGATTTCCATACATTCATCTACATATCACACTTGGGAACCCATAATCCATGTTGAGTCCCTGTTGATATATACCAGTCAGCTAATGCTTATTTTGGCGTCACAAATCCATCGGGTGTGGGCGGATAATATTGAACCATTTTATAACTGTATCCTGTTTTAAACAAAGACCATTCAAGCCTATACAAGCCAGCAAAGGTCCGTGCGTCGGATTACGTAGAACGTAACGTGAAGTTTACGTAAAGTAAACACGTAAAACGTGCTATTCTTCGGCCCAAACATGCGTGATTGCTCACGTTTTGAGAATATTTAATCTTAGTCAGAAGGAAGTAATTAAGATTCTCATTTTACACGACGTTACTAAAACGAAGATTTCGCTTGTTGCTTTGCATGGATTTCTTTTATTGCTATTCTAAAGATATTTGTTTTAAATTTTGATATGAAAATAAGTGGTCCATCAAAAAGGTAATTTTTAACTAAATTCTGGCCTTAGTAATCATTCGAAAAGTAGCTAAGTTTTTTAAATATTACGGTTTACTTAAATGGGAGTGGTTAACCGAATACTTAGATCAAAGGAGGGGTGTGACTGTACATTCGCAACCTTTAATTTGATAATATTTCCGCTAAAATAGCTGGCACAAACGCTCACCAAAAAGAAGAGAACCTTAAAATTCAATTTACAGGCAATCGCCAAGCGCGGATCACGGACTCGTTTTCAGCAGCTAAACAATGAGGAAAGTCTATTTAAAGTAAATTTGCATGCACCACTGATGCAAACACTTTTGACACGCAATTTCCTGTTTCAGAAATCGGTGTGATAATTTGAATACAATTCTCAAGCTACAATGCAATTCTTGGTACAAAAACCGTCTATATTAAATTGCAGACCAAGCAAATGCATATCTATTTACGGGCCCGGAAAATGTGCTTTATAAGCCCTAAGTTTGACATGAGCGAACTACGGCTCGCGGGCCAAATCCGGCCCGTCGGGTAATTTAATAGGCTTGCCTGATGCTACCACAAGAAATTTGTTAAGATTTTGATTGAAACTAGTTTTGGCACGAGGCTTATTATTTTTCACTTTCGATTTTGTGACACTGTAAATATTATTCATGAATTGTAACTTTCTTACGTCACTCTCACATGGCCCGCCGGTCTAGGGGGGGTAAAATGTTTAGCACCTGGTACAAAAACTGCCCAACTCTGCCCTAAGCACTTAATACTTTGGTGCCTGTGTTTGAAAAATATTACTAGGAATGTAACTAATGTTCCGTGTTATCTGGCAGTTGAATAAGTAAATTTCAGTATTTACTACTAATTGGAGTCCAAGTTATGATTTTTTTTTTCGTAATATTTTTTTTTAAATTGTTATTATATACCTACAAACATTTATAGAGATGTTCAAATTAATACTTGTGAAAGAAAAATCATTTCAACCAGGTCAATACTGAGGTTTTAATCGTCTGACCAATCATTTCATCTAACACTAAGGCGCCATTGAAGATTTGGCAATGTTAATTTTGGTACTCCCGAAGTATGTGCACCAAGATGGTACGTAGTATGTGTAACAGGTGAGGATTAGGCCAAAATTTTAGGTACAAATACTACGGGAGTCATTTGACTAGTCCCCGAACTCGTAATGGAAGTAAAATAAAGAAAATTGGTATACAATTATTGCCTAACCCTAACCTGGTACACATACTACGTTACGGCGTCCGCCATCTTGGTTCACATACTTTGGGATTGGCGAAATTTCTGTGGTGCCCCCTTTCCTTGATGCCCCAAGCGCGTTCTTCTTTTCCTTAATGGTTAATTCAGCCTTGGACACACTCTTCCCATCAATGAACTACATTAGGACAAAACTATATGACATTAATTAATAACTTCGGTTACACAAGACCAACTATACTTACTAATTCTGCTTTTGCCTTGGTGATACCGTACGCGTATATAAAATGCAAGCATAATGCTCTGGCATGTAGGCGGTAGGTTGTCGCGATGTGGATAACTTCTTCGTAGATCAGTGCTCTTCAACAGGGTTTCCGCGGAACCCTAAGGTTTCGCAATACATGCAGTGGGGTTCCGTGAGTTTATAAGGTTCCGTAGGGGTTCCGCGGTTTTTTTTTTTCAGAGGAAATCATTTCTTGCTTCAGTATGTTAATGCGTCATTATAAATATTCCTAGACCACCGTGTCTCATTCAAACTTCAAGTAGGCCAGTTCGTTAAACAAGAGGTTTAGGCACAGTGCAGTTAACAAACAAAACAGTAATATTTTCGGTTGTTGCGTCACTTTAGTCATTGTTATGCAACTAACAAGAACGCTATTGTTGCTCCATAGTTACATGATGATCAAAGTATGTAGATAATATATTGCTCGAGACTGGAGAGAGTATGTACTACAAACTAGAGTTATTGTTCAGCTTTTGTTGGAATATAGTGAAAATAGTGTGAAACCCAACTTTTTAATATTTAGTCAGTACAGATGAAGCAAAATACTATATTTTCTTATTCGAGGCGGAATAATAACAACGATGAAGGTCAGGACGGCAATGAGCAAAGTAGTTCAAATGCAAAAGCGGCACCTGCTCCTTCTCCGAAGCGAACCAAATGTAATTCAATTGCCAAAGTTAGAATTTTTTTTAATTTTGTTAATTGGGGTTCCATAAAAAACGAAAAATTATATCAGGAGACTCACAATACCAAAAAGGTTGAAAAGCACTGTCGTAGATAGATATAACTTCACGTTTGCTAGGTTTTTGTTAGTTTAATGGACAACTCAAAGACTTTTTACGTAACATATACTTTATTTTACAATCTGGAAAATTGACCAGAAATACCGCCTTAGTCAAGAAAAGAAAAAGAACAATACGTTAGAACACGTATCTCTGCTGTTATATTTATTGAATTATAACTGATATATTAGGAACAAAATCGTCATAAAAGGCAGAAAATATTTATAATTATGTCGTAACTATGGACACTGTCATCTATCATTTGTTGACTCCGTGACGTCATAAACTTTTCCGTATCAAATTTTATAGACAAAAAAGTTTGTTAATTTATCGTTTTTAAAATCACGTAAAAATATGTTGACAATGTGACGTCATAGTTTTAATTTGTTGCCATGCTGACGTCATCATTTTAAATTTTTGTCATGGTGACGTCATAGGTATTCAACCTTCCGCCGTTTTCGGCAAAGCAACGCGTTCAACTTGTTCGTCTTCGTAACGTTGGCAACCTTCGGGGCAAACTAGATTTTGCATTTGATTAACAACTCCAGGAGGCGGAGTTATGGGGATTCGAGGCAGATTCAATATCCTTGCTGAATAACTTGCGATTGTCTTCAATTGTGCGGTATTTGGGGTTCCTCCTCGTGTCTTGATACCGATTACTTGGATCTGAAGATGACGAAAACAAAAAATAGCTTAGTTGTGCGCTCATAATATATATAATTTCGCCTACTTTACATCAAGTTGTGTAAAGGGACTGAAACCTATGACCAATGGAATATTCACTTGGCTAACACAGACAGTCCCCGAACTCGTAATAGAACTAAAATAGGGAGAATCGGAAAGAAATTACGGCCTAACCCTAATCTGGTACACATAATACGGAGTACCGAATGTACAATGTATCCGTAGAAAATGAAAGCGATAAGATAACTTTTCTCGTCTTGTCAAATGTGCAGGACAGACATTGAATTAGTTGACCAGTTTATCTTTGTATATTTATGGATTTGAATAGTGGATGGCGCTGTAAACGCTAGCGATGGCGAGTCAAGCAATCGTATGGTACTCAAATATTACCAACAGCATTCGAATCCGCGCAGAGTACTTCTTTTCCCTAACGGGGCACTTTCCAGAGTATATAAGTCAAACTCACTTTGACCCCAGAGGCTTTCAACTCTTTGGCAGGTTTGATGACGTCATCAGCAGATCTTGAATCTGAGACAAGAACAGCGACATCTTGTGCTCGAGGTCTGTTGTTCGGTGTCTTGAACGATTTTGTTCTGAGATGATTCAAGCCGGCTCCTGTGTTAGCTCCTATAAAACAACTTTATTCGTTAGTTTTTTGCAAATTTGATAAATTATCTAGCATGGCAGGTACAAGCATGGAAGCTACATTGGCCACAGACAAGGTTTCTTCTAAGGTGCGTGCCACCAGATCATTTGCGCAGTAAAATTTCATTCTCGCGCGCTGTCAACATTACGTTTACAAAGCGTGGCACCGACTCATATTTTTTACCGCCTAGCTGGAATGCCCGTTTCACGTGTAGTTTGCTTGCCACTGTTCATTTTGATGTAACCTGCGTGTCTGTTATCTACAATTACTTTGTTTTCTCTGAAATCACTTGGTAAGAGCTATTTTTTGGCGAGACTGCAATGTCATCGCTGGCCGGTGTCGCATTCCAAGAAGGTATTTTAGTTGAATGTGTACTTTGTTCGCATTATGATAATATATTATTGTAACATTTCACAAAGTTTGTAAATCATTTGAGATTCTGTTCAGCCGTAAAATATTTATGCTCAGTAAAACAAACATTTGCTCAGTGTTACAGATCAAAATATTCGATTCGTTATGACAAACTTTTTACGACGCACAACCAGATATCGGTTGACACGACACCTTGATTAATGAGATCACTACGACATTACAATAACCTAATAAGTGCTTCCAAACTATAAAAACTGTCATCCAAGATATGCAGACGATCATCCAAATCGTGCAAGCTATTTCTCTCGTTTTCTCGTTGTAACGATCCCGATATGAAATAGATCGCTGGCGTGAGTGAGTTCGCTATCGTTGGCGAAGATGTCATTTCGGGCGATCGCAGCTATACTCTGGCAAGCTCTTTGGTGTGATTGTGAGGTCGTAGTGACCTAATCTTTGGAAGATACAGTCGCGTGGGGGTTGGGAATAACATATAAAAAATGGTTGTGCCTCGCCAAATAGAAGTACTTACGTTATTTAGTGGACATATTCAGATTAATGTGGTCATGATCATGCCTCTTCTCCTGTCGCGACTTGACATTCTAATCTTATTTACAATTACCTTATTATGAAATACACTCGTTTAATGAGTATACAAAACAAAATAAGAACAGCTTTCTTATTATAATGCTCAACGTACCAACTCCAACAAACGGCATCCTCAAGAGAGCTTTCTTGAAATTGTCCTTTGTAGTCGAGCAATCTAACGGTATCTCTGACCTGGTATCGATGCGGTTGTTGTACCGGACTGCTCCTACACAAACGTTATCTTTACCGAAGGTGAACTTGCTGACCTATGAACAAAAATGTAAACTGTTGTTCTCTTTGCATATTGGGCGTCTCCTGGAAATTCAGGTCGCCTCGATTTTTAAATTCTTTTATATTCTTTAAATTATTGTTTGATTTTCGTATTTGAATTACTGTTGAACGTATTTGAATTATTGTTAGACTTAATCACAGGTGTCGCCGCTTGATAACCAGTATTGGTTTCTCGCGACTCCTTTTACCCTGAATTATTCGTTGTTGCTTCTTTTTACATTCTGTATTCATTTGGTGTATTTTAGGTATGTTAGAAAAATAAACTACTGATTACTGATTATAGTTTTAGGACAGATGTAAAAAAAATGATCGCATACGAGTAATGACTACTCTATACGAAAAGTATGGATGTAAAAATTATGAAATTCGGGTAAAAGCCGGTCTACAAGATTCCGAGTCATGGTAATTAATTTTGTTAATTTAAAAACTATTTCATATTGGTGAAAACTATGTCATTCAGGAAAAATCCCGCCTGCAAGACTCGGAATTTTTTTTTCTTGTCATTCGAAAAAAGTTTCAGATGAGGTGTAAAAGTTATGACATTCGGGTAAAACCGGGTCTAAAAGTGATGAAATTAATATTTTCTACCTGAACAAGGAATAGTTATTTAATTTTAGAAGAGGTGTAGAATTTATGATATTCGGATGAAAGCTGATCTACAGGAATGTAGAGAAATATTTATTTAGTAAACTGTAATCACATTTTAGCCATTATTGGGTGAAGGATAGGATAGGATTCACATATTTATCCCGGGAGAGTGGAAAGCCGATAAGACGGCTCACTCATATGGCGAACCACGGCCTCTCGTCCGGTTACCAGTCCCGGTCGGGTATGGGATTAGTTGACCAGTTATTTGTTTTCGGGAGAATGGACTTGATGGTGGATGAAGCCGTAACCGACGAGCGGTTACGTGAACCACCCTACGGCGGCGAAAAGTAATCCTCTTGCACACGAAGGGGTAATCAGAGATGCTGGCGAGAGTATTCCTAACGCTTAGCACGATGCGCCACACCGCCGAGCGGGTTACTAAACTTTGTAAAGACCAGAATCTTTTTAGTTCCGTTGCCGATTTATTACTCCGTGAAGGTGGAGATGAGTATATGATCCGAATCAGAGTTGATCCAACAAAGTCAAGTCCAACGATAGAACCACAAAAACTGATATTCCCCAAAACAGGGGTTCATGAACTCCCAGGCGTATACAGAAAGATTTGGTGAGTACATGAGCTGATAGCAAAATTAGACACTCACTGGCTATTTTTATTGAAAAGGGCCAAATCCACAACTTTCTGGCAAATTATCCAAAAACCCATGATAATGAAAAGATTTTGAATCACTCCATTAGGCCAGGGATGTGCAACCTTTGATACACGAGGGCCAGATACCGCGGGCCGCATCTTTATTTAACATAGGCTTTCTAGTAGTTGCAGAGTAGTTTGTCAGTAGTTTCTAGCAGTTCGCTTTGCACAAGCTCAAATATAGACATTGCAACGCAAAAGAATTGGAATTACTCTTACATACTAGAGTGAATTGAAAATCCCTTTCGCTGGCCGCACACTATTCAAAAGTGGCGCTTCTCCGCGTGCCACACAAGGTTTTTTTATGGGCTGCATTCTTGTCCACGAGCCGCAAGTTGCACACCCCTGTTTTGAGTTATTCAAAAGTCTTGCTGCATACATTAGTGTCAGTGTGCAGCAAGACTCTTTAATTAAAATGCTGTTAACATAACTCGAAATACTACCGCAAGCCTACTCAGTATGCTACTCAGTGGGCCGCATTTGGCCTGTGGGTCGCACACTGCTACTTTAGGCCATTGCGTCCACTGAATCGACTTACTATTGATACTAACTCCGATTACTTACTATTGAGTTAACAAAATTCAGCACATTTGTCCAGCCTGCTCTTCCGGTAAGAGTAGTAGAATGAATCAGGAACACGATATCAGCATATGCGTTGGCGGGACAAGAGAGCTCGCAACACGGCAAAACTGCGGGAGATGGCCCGTTCATCCATGCTGGCTTTCCTCCGAATGTGCCACAAGTTACGGACTCCGATCCGCCTCGTAGAGTCATATCAACTAAAATGGAATAGAAATCATATGTATTATTTATTTAAGAAAGCAAACTGTACACGTCATGCGGCCGCCAAAATTATAGTCGATACCGGTATTAGCCTATATACGCTATCAGAGCGTAGCCAGGTTCTTGAGGGTCAGAACCCTTAACGCGACCCCGCAGGATGGCACGTAACAAACTTTTAGAGGTCTCTAAGAATACACCAATTTCACAAAAAGTACTAAATCTATTGTACCTTTATTGTTTAAACTTTTGATTCGAAACGCAATTAATAAAAATAGTTCAAAACACAATTCTCACGATTTCGAGAGAATACATAGGACCAGGGAAGTGGCGCGATTGCATAACAATTTTCCGACTTTTTCAACTTCTCCTAAATGCATATTTCAAACTATTTAGCATTTTAAACAACAACAAGAGTTACGGTAAACTTTAATATGGTCGCGAGATTAGAAGTTTGGCATTGCTTTAGATGACTCGGGTTATTTTGAGTCTCCGATAAATGCTGACTCGAGTCTAACTTGGATTGGGTCAATGACTCGAGCTTTCTCTACACTAAAACCCCTACCCAACCCCTCAAACCCCATTTCTACACATACAAACATCTACAGTAAATACCTGGGCATTCGAAGTCGCATTTCTTTCCATCAATTGAACACTTAGAGACGACACGACGGGTTTCAAGTTCGTCAAGGCTTGGGCAAACATCTGAATAAATACAAGTTTTTTTTATGTGTGGTGCAACCCGAAACTCCAGTGAAGGACGTTTACTAATTAAAACTTCTTTACTGATTAAGACTTTTTGTTTTTGTATAAGGCTCGTTTCAGATTAGTTCATAATATTTATGAATGAGATTTTGTGAGCACAGATAATGAAAAAAACAATTCAGTTTGTTAGGTTACTATATTTAGGTTTATATTGTTCTGTAAATCTTGAGAGAAAAAAAGGACTTACTTTCGGGTTCTTTCGTGGTGGTAGTGGTTTCAGTGGTAGCTGGAGTCGTCGTCACTGGTAAAGTAGTGGCCGGAGTCGTGGTTGGCTTGGCTCCGGGTTTCTTCGGTACGAAAGGTTTTCTTTGTTTTAGGCCCAACCGTTTGGGTTGGTTCTTTGACTTGGGTCCGGTTAACCGTTTGAAAGTCCCTGGTTTTCGGTTTGCCATTCCTGGTCTACGAACCGGTACTCTTCGCATTGGACGTTTTGGTTTCAACGTATTTTTTGGTTTTGCCGGAATTTTTGGTTTTACCGGTACCTTCGGTTTAACCGGTGCCTTTGGTTTCACCGGTATTTTTGGCTTAACTGGAGCCTTTGGCTTAGCTGGTACTTTTGGCTTCCATGGACTTTTCGACGCTGGTGTTTGAGTGGCTGGAGTACGCTTTGTAGGTGCCAAAGTTCGGGCGGGTTTCGGAGTTGCCATACGAAGTCGGGCTAGTCCTGCTCTTCTACCACCCCCTACAATTAAAAAATATGATTTTGCAGAAATATTTCGATATGATATACCGTAATTCTGATTAGAACTGTGGTGCTGTGGTGCTGTGGGGGGGGGGGTAAGACTTTTACCATGATTTGGGGAGGAGGGGTATTACTGACATTCTTTACATATTCTGTATTACTATAAAACTTATGTATGTGCACATTTTAAACTATTAAAGCCGTAAAAACATTCAGGGTGTCAGTTGTGCGTAACACAGGCTAGCGACCCTCTAAACCAGTAGTTCCCAAACTTTTTCAATAAAATGCTGCATTTTCCCATTTTGGAACTATTGAACTATTATTCCACCCTTACCATGCATAAAAACTTTTTTTGTTTGTTGTTTCATCTTTAATAATAAATCATTACCTAGTAATACGTGCAACTTGCCCTCTGGGACTCTTGTATAGTTTAAATAGTTCATGTTTTCATAAGTATGTATCACAATATTATCGCATAACAAAACATGATTTTTTCAACAACACTAAATACAAAATTATAATCCTCCCCCTCCCGAAAAAAATTCTGGCCAATTTGCATAGTCATTTTCAATTTTTTAGTTCATAAACCATTAGGTCCTAATACTAGAGTAGAGCTATTCAGCGAAAAGACGCTATAGAGCAGGACTTCCCAAACTTTTGAGCTCGCGGCCCCTTTTAATATATTAAATTCTTCGCGGCCCTTGTTCACGTTAATAATGCTAAACAGTTCGAAATATGCACTTTTGGTGTCTTATTAGCACAGCTAATTCTCAACTATTATTCTATCCCTACCAAATAAAAAAAAACAAGCACATATTCATTCAGATTAACGTTTCTCAATTATTCAGTGTAATGGGTGCGAATGCTTTTGCTGCATAGCAAGTCCAGCCGTTGTTCAATGTTTGTTTATGTAGGCCTAAATGATGAATTATGATGTCTGGCCACTGGCGACATGGTTCTTATCTCGAACTGTTCACTCTTATAGATTAAACTTAGCATAAGGCAGCGGTTTGTGTGCCGCCAAATTATCAGGGAAAAAACTCATGGCGCACCTACACGAAAAATATGCTGCCTCAAAACAAAACACAATTTTGTCATCGTTAATATGTACTTTATGTCGTACGATGTTTTTAAACATGTAGGTCTAAGGAATAAAGGCAAAAGATTAAAGTTTCTTTCTTATCTCTGTCCTGTTTTTCTTTAAAATGCAAAAAAAAACTCATGTTTGATAATCTCGATTAAGCAAATGAAGGAACTGCAGCCTATGAAATTGCAGCATGTAGGGTTTACCTCTTATCTTACGTAACAAGAGACCAATGCTCCCTCTAATTTTTTGTAGTATGTGTACGCAGAAATTTTGGTGTGTGCGCACTTTTTTGGAAATGACTAATATTTATGCAAAAACCAATGAAGAAATTTTGGCGTCCTAACCGGGTAATAAGTGGGCCAACAACAACCTGCCAACCGAGCACATTGTTACATTACATCGAAATACGTCTGTGCGCAGAAAATCTATGCGTGCGCGCAGCCTCTGAAATGAGAAAACAATGAGAAACAATAAAACATTTAGAATAAATATAATATGTAATATGTTTCGAGGCGCACTCAGCAAATCGCCCTCGAAAACCGCTCGCTAGCTTGAGGATTAAAGCCGTCATTGTTATGCAAGCACCCGCAAATCGGGTTTTACTATCAGAATATGCATTGTTATGCAAGCGCGATGATTCTACCGTGTTTCCATGAGGATAAGACCAAGCCTGATATAAGCGCTCGCCTTTAAAAAAGACTTACTTAGTCGATAGCGCAACTATTGTTTTTTACTTAATCCCGGGGTAGTGCGTCGTTTCAATTTTGCTAAGGCGTCGCAAAATGTCGTGATTTGTGAACTTCTTAATCAAACCATATCTTCTACTTTTACAGAAAGTTTCGTTTCGTATTTATATAAAGCAGTCTTTCCACCAGGGGCCATGAAATGCGATTTTACTGATGGTCGTTAAGTTTTGTTGGACACGTAGTGGACATAACGATGGTTTCAATATTTGTTGTTGTTGTTGTTGTTCTTGTTCTTGTTCTTTGACACGTTTTTAAAAAGTCGCTTTTCTCTTCGAATACTGGACCAATTGCTTTGAAATTTCCAGTGGTTGAAGATAAAAATTTTCTCCAGAAGGCTATTACTTTTTTTTTCGCTATGACGTCATCAAAATTATGTGACTCTACGTGTCCATATATTTGAGCATAGCTCTCTTGTTTGTTTATATGATCAATACGTATTTTCACGGGAGTCGCAACTTGAGCATGTTTTTGGAGGGCTTCACAATACAATGAAGTTTGAGAACCACTGAGTTCCAATCGATAGCAAGAAATCGTTTCTACTTTTTAAATGATTAATAATCTATACGTAGTAGTTTATTTTAAATAAAAAATGTGCTATTTATAAGCAAATGGAAATCGGTATATTTTGTATGATAAAAAATCTCGGTATTCTCTATCCCCAAAAAAGCCCTAGTGTTATTTTCAAAAGAAAATTGAAGACACTGTCTTATTTTCGGGGAAACACGGTATTTTGATGATGTATTCACTCGAAATTGTGGAATTTTTGATTTATATAGATATAGTACTTTGTGTAAAATTGGTACTCTCTTTGCGGCCCCTAAAATTCGTTTCGCGGCCCCTTCCAGGGCCGCGGCCCCTAGTTTGGGAAGCCCTGCTATAGAGCACTTCTCCGATATTACTTTTAATATGCGACCAAATGCCCAAAAAACTTACCCCAACCAATATTATAGCTTAATTATTGAATTATTACTTACTTGCTCCAATGCCTGCGGATCTTGGCCTGGCTACTCTTCCCGCTCCTTGACCTCTTGGAGGAAGTTGTTTGGTTGGCTTCCTTCCACCACCCAATGGCTTCCGCACACCCTTGTTTCCCGATGCTGGTTGCCTCTGTCCGGCACCTGGTCTTTTCACTCCTGGTCCCGGTTTACGAACTCCAGGCCTGCTAGTTCCTGCGCCAGGCTTGCGAGTTCCTTTGACAGGCTTGCGAGCTCCTTTAACAGGCTTGCGTTTTCCTGCGCCAGGTTTTCCACCTCCTGCACGTTTAGGCCTTGTTGTAGCGGGTGCAGCGGTAGTTGTCGTTCTACGTGGCGTCAATCTGTTTTTTCCGCGGATGATATTGAACGGTGCTCTTGTGGTGGTAAATCGAAGGCGTGGCGCCGTTGTTGATGTCGTGGCATTGGTGCCATGAATTTTCACATATGACTTCCATCTTTTTCTATGGCGAATAGATCGGTATCTGTTCAGACCCACAACTCTAGCTCGAGGTCTTCGTGGTCTCAGCCGTTTCTTCGCCGCTTCTTCTGTTGCGTTCACAAAGCTAGGCTAAAATATAATTAGGTTTAGTAAACTGGTTCTCACTGCTCTGGGTCATGGAGTCAATTTCAAGAGGGCCACAAGCTTGTTAAAAATTACTATGGTTTTTGAAAAGTTCAATTTCATTTGTGTCATTATGGTCATATATTTATGGTAGTAGCAATGAATGATGTGAGGCCCGCAAAACGAGTTTTTGATTGAGTTTAAACTGGTATGTGCAAGTGATTCCAATCCATTTGCTTTGCGTTGCAAAGACTATGACGAAGTCCAATTTATTATCTATGCTTATGACGTTACAATGACCACAACGCATGTCATAGGATCAATACCTTTTGTGATGGCAACTACTATAAAGCCTATGTTGAAAATAGACGCGGCCCGCGGTTTCACACATTTTTTGTATCTGGCCCTCTTGTATTGAAGGTTACACACCCCTGGTCTGGATGTTAGTTCGACAGTGAATTTGGGTTCTTGGTTAAGAAAGTACACACAATCCGCATTATTTATGTTTACGAATTAAAGTTGAAATTTGTCTGATTTCATCAAAGATATTTTGTGAATGAAACTATCTAAAGTATGAACATTATAGGTGTGTGCGTATGTTTGTGATAAGAAATAATTAGCGTTTTTTCTTTTTTTTATGAGTGGAAATTTCCGAATAATGAATATCCCGTGTGGAATTTTTCTAGCATGTGCGTGTGTGTGTATCTCTGTGTGCGTGTGCAAACGTGCGTGTGTGTGTGTGATAAAAAAAAAGAATAAGCGTTTTTGCTTTTTATGAATGGTACTTTCCGAAAAGTGAAATTTTTCTAGCATGTGTGTGTGTGCAAAAAAATAAATATCGTTTTCCCATATAAAAGTAATTTATGTCGGATCCTAAATTATGTTAGTTAACAATACTGCCGTTGCTAATACGTACATTAGGCTTCACAGTCAGTATCGTCATATCAGAAGTTCTTCGTCCGTCCATTCCCGTCACCATCAAAATAAACTTGTATGTCCCAGGTCTAAGGTTTGTAATGAAGATGTCTTGCTGGGTTGGGTCCTGTGAAATATTTGCAAGTTGATTTGTATTCATATTGAAGAGATGGCCTCAAAGTCTACCCTTATGCTGTATGGGGGGAGCTGACTCTGATGACCATATGGTCGTATCACTCTCCCAGTCTAAACCGAAAACTTTGCGATCAACAATCTTATGCTTTTTGCTATTCGACATAATGAATGGAGTAGCCTATGGAGTAACAAATATTGTATGTGTATTTATGGTAACTGTGACGTGTCGTCTTATCGACATTCCTCTCTCCGGGTTAGGTATATAAATCCCATTCTACTTACCGACACAGTCAGACTTGCTCCCTCTCCGCTTGCAATAGGATCCCACCACCGATATCTCTTCACTGAGCCCAGAGTATTCTCACCACTCAAAGTCACGCTGTCTTGAGGGAGAGTGACTTCAACATCTGGTCCGGCATCAGCAATGGCGCGTTTTAGATGTGCTGCAAACAGGTAAGATAGTCGAATAATCGAATTGGTTCAAGAATATTTGAAAATTTCGTTAGATCCAGGGCGACCCCCCAATAAGAAAAAACAACAATTGAATACACTTCCGGTGCATATAAACTTGTGTTATTAATATGTATTTTAAACGCTCTAAACTCTCAAACACCTACTTTTACACGTTTTCCCGTCTTCTTGGAGCTTATAATCCTTAAAGCATTCACATCTGACTGTCGTCTTATTCAACGGTATGCATGTGTGATCACATCCGCCATTGAAACGTTGGCATATCGGAGCGACCTTCTTTGGAACGACAGTAGGAAATGTAACCTCGGGCTTTGTAGTTGCGATGTCTGGTGGTAGCGGTTCGTCTTCTCGCTCTGTTAAAGAAAGAAAGTGTGATTTAGTTAGGGTTGCCAACCATGGAAAGTTTCAATGAAGGACACTTTCTTTACCTTCATCATTTATTTTGTATCTTGCAGGAAGAAACAAATACAAATGATATAAAAATTATATACAAGCTAAAAAGATATATCTCGCCGGTTTTATTTCTAGATAATTCAATAACATGCTATGGTTAAAGAATAATTGAAAGGTTGCAAATACATAAACGGAGGCAATTTTTTAAAAACGGAACAATATCAAAAACAGTACTATACCTATCGGGCAAAACGACATTTAGTATACTTTTTAAATACTAAAAAGAACAAGAACCGAAAAGCCTAATTGAAGGATTGTTCTATGAAATAAAGGACGGTTGGCAACCCTAGGTTTAGTGCATGCGTATGCAATTCAAGAGTCCGCAGCACACTAACACAAATGTATTTCTGTAACGTTGATTGTTGTAAATTGCTTGTCTGAGGAAGTCTGATTTTTGTCGGACGAAACGTTACAGAAATACATTTGTGTTAGTGTGTAGCATGACTCTTGAATTGCATAGTATAGTCATGCTTACTCCTGCTACTGCATCCTTGCATAATACGAATCCAATAGCGCAAAGGCATTGAGGAAGGATTGGGAGTTAGTCTCGAGTAACCTCTACTGATAGAATTTATTACCATGATTTTATTGGATACGAAGTGCTGAATAAATCTGGGAACGTTTTCATTTCGGATCGACATACCTCCGCTAGATGACACGAAAGAGCATTACCGTGTTTTCCCGGAAATAAACAAGATTTTTTTTCAATTTTCTTTCGAAAATAACACTATGGCTTATTTTTGGGGATGCATTTTATTTTTATTTATCAAAAACAAAATACAAAGTAGAGAACCACAAAATTTTCTAAACATGAAAACCTATATTCACAACACGTTTTTATTTGAAATAACTGCTAAACATAGATTATTAATTTTTTAAAACGTGTAGGAGAGATTTCTTGCTATCGACTAGGTCAAAAAAATAAAATTCGCGCTATCGACTAGGTCTTATTTTAAGGGGAGCTTGAATTAAAATAATTTTTTAGGCTAGGTCTTATTTTCGGGGAAACACGGTATATTAAATAATATATTTCGTCTCGTCTGGTAATGCAACCTTTATTTAGTTTTTTTTATCTTGTTTGGCGCGCATAGATTTAGTTCCAATGATGGATCAATTCGCGACAAGCCAATAGTCACGTTTATTTACAAAAAAAAAATGAATTCACCTAATAAGTTAACATAAAAAAAAACGAATTTACTTAAAGTCCTTACCATCAGGGGGCGGTGTAACACCGCAGTTAAGCAAAGCATGATTGCAACGTTCAGCCGAGCAACAACAACGACAAAAGTCATCTGGATCGTCGCGTGAACTGCAGTGCTTTCTTAGAGCAATCTGAAATATAAATAAGTTAGCAATGCTCAGACATATACTTGAAGTGCACACAGGAGACTAATATAATTCCAGCTAAATTCTAAAAAAAAATTCTGAATTTCAAGTGTCAGGCTCATCATATATGGGAAACCGACAAAAGAATAAAAGTAACAATGTGAAGTACAAATAAAAGAACAATTCTCAAATATGTAAACTCAAAGTGCACACAGGAAACTGATATGATCCCCGAGCAAAGTAAGCTAAATTCTAAAGAATTATTTGGGTTTTCATATGAAGGTGTGCTCTTCAGATATGGAAAACTGGCAGATATCGGAAAAAAAGTATCGAAAATAATAATCTTATATTAATTAAGAACATTCTCAAATATATAAACTTAAAATTCACACAGGAGACTAACATAATAACAAAATGCCAGCTAAATGATGAAAAAATTGTCTGAATTTCACATCAGTTATGGAGAACTGAAAACTGAAAAATTATTGGACGCGCAGGACTCAGGACGTAGAAAAAATCTGAAGGGTCAAAGTAATAATATAAAATACAAAACAAAAGAGAAATGCTCAAATATGTAGACGCGAAGGTAAAATAACCGATATAGAAACTGCAATCACAGTAACATTGTTTTGTGCCGAATGTAATAAAAAGTTGTACCAAATTTTATACAAACGTGTGCTCATAGATTATATATAAAAAGGCTAAATGTATGTTTGCGAAGATAAAACGTCACGAGTCTTGCTGCATTATATTGGCAACGAAATGTCGGAGCAAAATTTGAACAAAATGCTTAACCAGCTGTACCGAATATCATATAAAAGCGGTCTGAAAAGCGTACACTCATCTTTAAATAAGGAAAATTTAAGTTTTTTCCTGACATATTATATCATATATAACCAAACTCCGAGACGGTATACAATTGTTATTTTGGTGACCGTACATTTGAACCCATGTGTATATCCGCGGGTTCAATCTATATGCGGGTGCTAAAACCCATGGGTTAGGGTTAGTATGGGTTCAAATATCCGCAAAACAAAAAAAATTCCATAGGTGCAATCGTATGCAGGTGCAATTGTCGTGAGTTCAGATGTACGTGGTTAAAATGTACGTGGGTTCAAATGTACACGGGTTCAAATGTAATGGAACCGTTATTTTATCATCAAATTTATTTATCGTTCAACTTTTTCGAAACATCGAAACATGCATCACTTTATTCAAAACTATTTTGAGCATCTGCTTGTGTTCACGCATACTGAGTGACATACTATACCATATATGGCCGAGGTCCAACATAGACGGATTTACAAGAAGAATTACAAGTTTCACAAGTTATTATCTGTTTCTCAAATCTTGGTTCCAAGTTACATAGAGAACGAACTTGCGATGTTAAACAAAACACGACTGATAGCGTCGATTACTTGAATTTGGTCGCAAAAGCATTAGAATTGAAATTTTATTTAACTTTCAAGCATTTTATTTGGATCTGATGGTGTCTGGTATCCAACGACAAATAAATACTATTTAAATAGGACAGTATTGGAGTCATTGCGATTTTTAGAGAGTTTGCTTAAAGTAAATTAATGGGCATTCACTTATAATGAAATAAAGACTCATCTCTGAATAACGTTACATGCGCCCTGAAATACAAATAGCAACTGAAATTATGGTTATGCTTTTCGCGTATTCACTGGCAAGAAAAAAATTCCTCTCTGAGCCAAGTTACTCGCAACCAATGAAATGCCAAGACATGCTACTGAAACCATATAGTTTTATGTGGTAAATTATTCACCAGCAAATACCGATATAAAGACTTTATTTATTGCTATGCTTGCTTGCCGGAGGATACGTAAGGAAGTCAAATAAGTCTGATCTGTAAATCATGTTTTATAAACATAACAAAAAGTTGCATCAGAACCCGCAAATAACGTAGATAGATGGTGGCAACGCAAGGTAAAATGTTGGATTTAAAAACCATGCAAATTTAGGATGTGGTAGATATTATCCTATTAGCAATAAAACCATTTGTGAAAAATATTTACGTATTTTATTTTTCATTCACGTTTTATTTAAGGGGTGGTGTTTCCAAATTAAATATGGAGTTGGGAGATATTTTGCTATTAGCAATAAAGCTATTTGTAACTTATAAAAATATGATTGTCTGACCATTTGCATTGGTACATACGTCATTTTCTGGATATTCAAATACACTTATATTTAGGTTAGGAAATAAATCACACTTCCAAAAGTATGTGGGTGTGTTATTTTATGGGCGCAAGACTTGACAAATTCTAAAAAGCAGGCGCGGGTTAAAAAGTTTGAGAACCGCTGTAAAATAAACTTGGGGGCTCCCGAAGTATGCGAACCAAGATGGCGGACATCGGAATGTGATATGTGTACTAGGTTAGGGTTAGGCCATAATTTTAGCTATAAATACTACGGGAGGCTCTTGGCTAGTCTTCGAACAGATAATAGGACTAAAATAAGGAAAATTGAAAAAAAATTATCGCCTAACCCTAACCTGTTACCCATGTTACGTTCCGATGTCCGCCATCTTAGTTCGCATACTTCGGGAGCACCTAAACTTGTATATACAAACTGTACATAAGTGGGAGTGCGACTTGCGCTTAACACCAGTTAAGGATTCATTAAAGATTTCATAAATTAAGTAGTTCTTGTGCCTAGTGAGAGAGGCAAAAAGAATTCTAAAATAGTCGAAAGGAGGAATTCAATCAAAAATGTTGGGAACGCTGGATTAGAGAGTTACACTTGACCAAATTTAAAGGAAATTGTTTCAATTTGGTTTCAAAAATAACTTCCGACAACGATTCCGGGTACACACTCAAAACGCAGAACACATACTCGTACTGACCTCTAGCTCCTTCTTCTTGTTTGTGCTGTATTTCTTTTTGACCTGTTTCAATATTGCTGGTGATCTTTTGAAAAGTGTTTCTAAGTTGCCAAACTGGAAATATTGGAGAAATGTAAATTGAGATGTCAGACAGAAAGCTAATATTAACAAGATTCAAATTTTAATTTCTCATATTTATCTTATACTTCAGATTCTTCATACGACATAAGTGCACTAAATACCTTTATGTGCGCATGTACAAAAGCTATTGTTCATATATGTGTTTATGTGCGCGCATTCGCGCGTTTGTGTGTGCGTTTAGGTGCACACATGTGTACGTTCCTATCAATGTGAATATTTTATTACGTGCAAGTGTGTTGTTTGCTATTGTGGCTATGTGCACGCACCAACGCATGTATGTTTGTTTGTATGTGTGCTTTTGTGCATGTATGTTTTTGCTTGTTTTCCTGTGTGTTATTATGTTGCTTACGTGTTTTATTTTGTGTGTGTGTTCGTTTTTGTATGTGCGTAACCATAACTTACAAATCTCAATCCTGGCATCGTAGCTAGAACTTGTTCGTTGGACAAATCTCCGACTTTCTCATTCGCGATTCTCATCAGTTCCATTCGCTCCTGTGAAAAAAAAAATGTCGGTAATAAACAGTCTTGTGGGGTTGGCTTGGCTTTATAAGCAGTATGCTGGGTAATGTGTTAAAATCAAGAGATCGGTTGGCCGAAATCTGGATTTTTGAATCATTATTCTCACTTACGCTTTTGCAAGTTTCGAAAGTGAAATTCACATTGCAAAATATTTTACATTATCACCTCTGCAAATATTCATAGCTGCGTGTAGGAGAAAGAGCTTTGGAAAATAAATTCCGGCGTTCTAGAAATATGTGTACCAATATGGAGGTAACTAATTTTGTTCGCCTACTTTACATCAAGTTGTATAAAGGGACTGAAACCTATGGGCAGGGGGTATATTCACTTGGCTAACACAGACAGTCCCCGATATGGTGATAAAACTAAAATGAGCAAAACCGGAATAAGATTAGGGCGTAAACCTAACCTGGTACACATACTACGGGAGGTTGATTCTTAATAACTGCAAATAAAACACACAGCAATCCTAAATTTTTACATCCAAATGAAATTCACCCCCAAAAAAGGTCAAATTTTATCCCAATTTAATAAAATATTAAAACCATCATTCGATGACTTTGAAACAACGTCATATCGGGAATTTTTTTTAATTTGATTTGGCTATATCTGTTTTTTGAAGGTTACGCCATATTTCAACCAAGTGTTAGTATTTTACATTATGTTTACAAAGAACATTTGTAACGTTTTATACTTATAAAAGATTGTCTAAGCGTTCTCAACACCTTGGCGCGGTCAAATTTTAGCTTTTTTCCCTAGCTTGATTCGGAATCAAAATGGAGTCGAGAGTAGAAGCCACAGTCGTATTAGAAGCGGAGAACGCCGCCGTTGAAATTGTAAATTGAGTGTCATATGGTCTTAAAACGGTTCTCGGTTCATCGGCAACGGGTAACCGCATAGTATCACTAACAACAAAGTTCCCCTATTTCAGAAAATGTATCTCACTTCATAAGCTGCATTAACATCACACGCTTTACATAAATCTAACAATATGACTTCGGAACGCAAAATATAACGCTGATCATCAGCTGCGACGTACGTTACACGTTTGCTACGGTCGCCCAACGTCTGAAAAATACGAAAGGGTTTGCTCATTCATAAAATATCACAAGAACGGGTTCTTGCGGAGCCGCTGAATACCCCAACTGGTTGGATGCGCAGTTAACCAGGAACAAAATCTTAAAAATACTCTACCTTATTGGTCTGGCAAACATCATTTGTCACTTTGCATCCTTTGAAGAGATACATTCGTCCTGTACTGCTACCGTAACGAAGTCTCGTGTAACATTGTCGCTGGTTCGGCGAACATTCAACCAGATCGGTACAAGTGTCGATGGAAGATGCGCCATTGCACGAATAGCAACGAAGATCTAAAAAGAATGTTGTAATCAAAGATGTGCTTGGAGTCAATGAAAGTTTTATCCGATTCCGAATCTTGACTCAAGAATGACCGAACGGCTCATTGGTGCATTAAGACTAACCAATCGCGATCTTTTCCATGAATCCCCCGCCGGCGGCCCTTGCCAAAATTTCTTATGTAGCCCATTACGTCACCGACCGGAAGTGCGCAATTAACCCGGAAGTGTTCCAAACATGCATTTAATTAAACAATATCTTTGACTCAGAAAGTATTTCAATAACCAGTGCTCTATTCAACCATGGTCAACGTATAAGGAGCAGCACTTGATCATTGATTATATATGGCCATTTTAGACGAAGTATAATTTCGGACTGTTTTGATAAAATGAAACATCAGTACCTCGATTGTCTCGACACGATTACTGATTACTTTAGTAATTAACTCACTAATTAAAAGTCTGAATCAAAAGCTGTTGAAAACAACAAAAAACACACAGATGTTTTACAAAAAAGCACGTTGCTGTTTAGAAATGCGCTTTGTTTACTAATTAACAAAAATTCAGTTTCGGCTTCGATTGTGAGTTTACCATTCAGAGCAGGGGTCGGCAACCTACGGCATGCGGGCCGGATCCGGCCCGCGGAGTAATATAATCCGTCCCGCGACGCTTCACTGAATTATAGTAACAAAACAGCCGTTTTGACGATTATACCCCTTAGACTAACTAAATTGTATTATAACCTAACAAGTATATAATTCACAATTACCCGTTTAATGAGCATAAAATTAGATTATATTTTAACAAACGGCGGAATTTTATGAGATGCAATTAGGAAATAAATTTATATTCTATTCGAGAGATGTATCACTGCTCGATTTTTGATATAAAAGTATCATCCGTTCGGTTTTCAACTTTCTAAAAATATGTGCGCCCCGTCAATGACTTGCAACCTTTAATTTTGGCCCGCGAGAGACAAAAGGTTTCCGACCCTTGATTTAAAGTATCAATTGAATTTTATGCATCTTTCTTGACGCCAAAGGTCGTATGAAACCATATACTAATTTTCCCCAATCTTTTATATCCAGTGACTTCTTTCGTATGCCCCTGTTTATCATTCCAGTGGTATTCATAGTGTTCCTTTGATTGGTAGATTCCGATTCTCATTATGTCTAATCAATCCATACTCAACAAGAAATGACCTTATCAAGCAATGAAACTAGGAAGGACATGAATGTCTAGTAAAGGTAAAACCAGTTTTGCGCCTGGCATGGTGCCCCTCGCCAACTACTCTGTGACCCCACTGGTGGGTAAGGGGCTCCCGGTTGGGAACCACTGCCCTACCCCATACCGATATTATGTATTCGTAAGTTCGAATCCCATGCGGATAATTATGCTTGATAGATAGTGATAGACCACCTCGCTATTACCGAGATCGCAAGTCGGTTGCAGTTCTTTGCATAATCCAAGTTCATGCATCTGAAACAATTATTTGGTTAAAAATTCGACGCTCCATATTCTGGACCAGAAGTGTGTGTACCAATACGGAGACCCCTAGATAACTATGGAAAATATTGATCTTTCAAATCTTCCAGAAATTGCCATTCGAATTGCTTTTATAACAACTAGGTTTTAAATTATTGGAAACGAAGTGGACCAGTGGATGATAGTTCTGTTATTATTTTGTTGTTTTTTCGTCTTATCGTTATAAAAAATTAATTTTTCTTTCAATTACTGGACCAATTCTATTACTGACCTTTGAACTTTTCAGTGGATAAAGATTGTATTTTTTGCTAGAAGGCTATCACTTTTTTTCCCCATATATTTGAGCATAGCTCTCTTGTTTTAAAACATAATTTTCCTGTGTTCAGGCGTGAATATTTTTTTGCACTGCAAAATCTTAATCGAATCATTAGAGGTCGCAATTACAAATTTTAATAACTTACTAGTATAGCTAGGCTTGCTGGTTTCCCCATCTTGAGCTGTAGCTCCTCTTGCAACAACTTTCAAACGAAGCTGATACAACTTGTTAGATTTCAGGTTGAAAGCTTTGTAAGTCCTGGCTTTCGCACCCAGAGGCTCGTCTATCACCCGGACTTGTCCGGTTCCGGAGTTTAGTAGGACCTGAAGAAATAAATTCATTCACTTTCATCGGGCTAGCAAAGACGAATATAAAGTTCCTTTACAATTTCAATTTTTTTTGAAGTCAGATCTCAATATATCTTAACCAGATTTATTGTTTTTTGATCAGTAATTGTGTGAGTATTATTTTTAGTTCATTTAACTTCATTTTTACTTCATCTGTGAGAGTCAAAAATATATCTACTTTTTAGTCACCCTATATATCATAGGGTATAGCGCCGTTTCTTAAATTGGAAGCAGTAAAAGGCATAAGTTAGTGGTTGTGACAATGGACTGTAACGTTAAAATAAACGATTTAGACCAGTTATCGTGAGTTGAGCAACGCTCTGTGAATCACAATTCATTATTTCCAAACAATTTGTTTTTTGACACTTGAAAATTTTTCTAAAATTATCATTATTTACGTAAACATAGCTAATCGAAGATTCCATCAGACCTCGGAGGCATAATCTAACGGACATGACTTAATCTGGCTGTGACGAAACAAATAATAAGTTTCGATAACGTGAAATTAGCTGTCTTGTGATACATGGATAGCACATTATTGGTTGTTCCCGTAGTATGTGGACCAAGATGGCGCACAACCTGAACATATTATGTGTACCAGGTTAATTTCAGGTTGTGCGCCATCTTGGTACACATACTACGGGGTCTCCCTTATTGAAGATAAAGTGGACTTATTTATGCTAAATTGTTCTTGTTGGGAGAAGAAAACGCTTTTTTGATACATGAATTAGGTCGGATATTCGTAATGATTTAAATATGTTTGTAATTCAACGGGCATGGCTTGATCTGGTGGGGATGACACAAATAATAAGTTTTGATGGCGTAGACCTAGTTATGGAACTTTAAGGAGCCCGATGGATTTGACACTTACGGATCGCTTTTGCTAAAATATTGTTGTTGCTGTTTTGGAATTCTGAAAACTGACGGTCAGAAAAAAGAGACTTATGAAAGAAAATGTTTTTGAATGCAAGATAAAATAACTCCAAAGATGATTAATCGAAATATAAATATTTTTCCCGGACAAGTTTCGAGCTGGTATTTTCGGACACAAAACTAACAAATTCTACAAAATCTACAATGATTTCGAATTGACGTGAAACTATTTTTGACACGATGTTTCATCTTACAGACCTTTGATTTGGATCTTATTCCAGAACGAGATGTTTGATCAAATGTTGTCGCTTGTTTTGTTTTTTATTTGGCCGTTTTATTACTTTGATCAGGCCTGATATTCGCATTTTTTTTTCTAATTTACAATTTCCACTAAAGCTTGGGGTCAGGGTTCTCCACATTATATCGAACATTCGATTCGATTAAAAATTATTAATATTTGATACTGTAAATTCTCTATTTTAAGGGTGCTTTTGAAGTATTCGTACCAAAATGGCGCACAACCTGGACATAGTATGTGTACCGGGTTAGGGTTGTTCATGTTGTGCGTCATCTTGATACGGATATTTTCAGAGCGCTATTTCAAGAATAATTTAAAAAAATGTCATATGAAAACTTGTCATTTTAATCGTTTCATTTGATAATCAGACAAAAATAGACTCAAAAAGATGTTTATGAATGCAAGCCTAAAATAATTTAAAATTAAACTTTATAAAATATAATGAAAATGATTAATAAAGCATAAATACTTTTATTTTAAGACACAACTTGAATAAAACCTACGAAAAACTGGCTTAAATTAACGCGAATTTAAATAAACATGAAACATAAAACTCTATTTACGGCGCGATGTCTCATCGCACACACCTTATATTGATTTAAATCTTATTTTATGGCGAGCGGATGTTTTTACCGCACGTTTTATAAATAATGGTTCACAACTGTAAGTAATGGTTAGGAATGTGGATTTGCTTGTTTTCAAATGAATCGGGTTTGAAGAAAGCGTAAAAAACTGTTCTGCTATATTATTATTTTTATTTATTAAATTATTTGAAATCGTTTTTAGGTCTTACACTATCACAATTTTAAAATTTGTAACCATATTTCTCATTCATCGTTAATCTTATATAAATATAAATGTAAATTTCGTCGACGCTAATTTAAGTACTCCCGTAGTATATGTACCTGGTTAGGGTTAGGCCATAATTTTATTCCGATTTCTCTTATTTCAGTTCTATTATGAGTTCGGGGACTATTTGTGTTAGCAAGAGAATATACGGTTCTGTCAGTCCCTTTACACAACTTGTTGTAAAACAGACGAACAAAATTAGTTACCTCCATATTGGTACACCTACTTCTGAAGCGCCCTAATTTTCATGGTCGCATGGCCTCTAATTCGCTCCCTCCAGTCTATACCGTAATAGCATTGTTTACAACTTCATATGTTTCGACATCATGATGACTGATTTAGTTTAGATCAACAAAATATTTTTCTCTGTTTTTTCTCTTTCCAATATTTATCGAATAGAACACAATATTTTGCAATACGGGTTGGTATATTTATTTTAATATCTATTTTCAAAAAAGCTAGCTTAGAGGTGCGGCCTCATCACATAAAAGAAAACAGACAAATATGATGTAACTTGAAACCACACAACTATACGAAACCACGAATTTGGCGGTCCCCTAGTATGTGAACCAAGATTGCGGTGTATGTGTACCCGGTTAGAGTTGGGACATAATTTTATTCTAATTTTTCTTATTTTAGCTCTATTACGAGTAGTATTTGTACCTGAAATTATGGCCTAACCCTAACCTGATACACATACTATATTCCGGTGTACTCCATCTTGGTGCACATACTACGTGAGTACCAATGTTTACACGTTATGATCCTCTTTTCACTCAGAACATGGCTCTGTACAAGCAACCACTGACGTATAAAGAGCTGTTTACTTTGGAAATTCTTTAATATGTGACGCCACTTAGGCAAGCCCAATGTTTTAATCACTAGTACAAGACGCACATATATTTTTGGGCGCTCGAGAAGTATGTGTACTAATATAGAGGTAACTAATTTTGTTTGCCTACTTCACAACAAGTTGTGTAAAGGGACTGAAACCTATGGGCAGGGAGTATATTTACTTGGCTTACACAGACAGTCCCTAAACTCGTAATAGAACTAAAATGAAAAAAATCGAAAGAAACTTATGACCACAACCGAATACTACGGGTGTACCCATTTCTGCCTACACAGGTTTGTGGCTTTATTTCGAATTCTACTTTCAAAGCCTGTCTTTATCTTTGACGTAAATCCTTCAACGCTAAAGAGATGTGGTGACGATATCTTTAATGCGATTTAAAATAATAAAAAAAGCGTAAAGTAAATCTAAAAACAGTGCGATTTAGCTTATCCGTATTTAACATGTGAAATGGATTTTGAGTGCAAGTTTCCATCAAATCTATATACTAAAATATAATTTGAATATGAAAACAGTAGAAGCGAATAGTGATAAAAGTGGACATTGACAAAAACAATTTGTAAAAACATTAATCTTGTTGAAGTCTTCTAACTATATTCGGAATACGTCATAATTTTGCCGCTAAATAGTTCCATTTGAAATCGAAACAAAATGCAATTAGAATTCTAAAATATAAAACTAAAAATCAATATTGGAAGCCTTAGTATGCGCCATTAATGCGAAGTTTTTTTCAAATCTAAGTACCACAATATCAGATAACACTATAGAAAAGTACAAGAGAGTAAATATAAAAACAGCCAATGGGAAAATCATTATTATTTGTCTGGCTATATCATACTGCATAGCCATGACATTTATGTGTACCGGGCGGGACAACATGCCAAAATCTGGTATGTCCCGGCTAAACCGAGACGTACGGTAGGTATAGTCAGATTCACGCATCAAACACGGGTCCATCACGCACATACCGGTATCAAATTAGCGCAATTTTTCAACCATGCGGTTACGAATGTAAGTGCCATATTACCGGTCGTAACCGCTTTCGCCTAGGGCTTGACTGCGGTTTGCTATGTAAATATTCGACATACTTTTTTATCTTTGAGCACGACACATTTGAAATCTATTTGTTGCGGAGAAACGATTTTCCACAACAACAACAACAACAACAAAAATTGAAATTCGACATTTTTGAACACCTATACTTGCTCACCTCGGCTGTATATTTCTTTCCAGGTTTCAAACTTCCGGCCAGATTCCATTCCAACGTGGTGGCCGTTGATCTGATCAATTTAATCTCAGCCGACACAGTGGCTGCAAAAAAAGTTTGAAATTCTGTTTAACTGAGTGTCGAATAATTCATACATTTACAATCAAATCCGAATCCGATTTAAAAATATTTGACTCCTATTCCAGCTCCGAAAAAATTGAATTTTGATAATTAAAACTTGCTCTGAGTTTTTGTTATGAAATTTGACGTTTTTTATCATTGGAAGCAGCGGCGGCCAGGGGTTCGAACCTTAAACCCCAACTTGTTACAACAACAAGTATCCCAGCAACAACAAATAGAACAATCCTCATTATGTAATGTAAAAAGGTCTTTTTTCGGTGCTACCGAAGTATGCGAACCAAGATGGCGGACATCGGAACGTAACATGGGTAACAGGTTAGGGTTAGGCGATAATTTTTTTCCAATTTTCCTCATTTTAGTCCTATTATCACTTCGAAGACTATCCAAGAGCCTCCAAAAATTGGCCCGCGGGCGTAGTTTGCTCATGTCAGCTTTAACGTCTGCATCGACACTCAAAATTGCAATCCTAAAAATCACACAAATAGCAAAAGAAAACTTACCTAAAAGTACAATTGCAGCCACAAGCGTCGTGGACAAAACATGGCGCTGCATGTTGTCCAATCAAGGCTTCCTCGCTTTCCTAATCAACCACCTGGTTGATTTCAACAATGTCAAGACAATTTCAAAAACCAGCAATTAGCGCATTAATTACTCGAGAAAATGCTTAAGTAGCCTTTCCTCTTCTAACTGTCGTAAACAAACAAAGTGGAAATAATTAAATGACGTACATCACACTTAGATTGATTACATTTAATTAGATCAACGTTTCCCAATCGGGGAGGATTTTTGGTGTGGAATGATAGGTAGATGGATAGATAGTTTATTTGAATACTTCATAATATACGTAAACTTAAAATGAAGAATTTTGGAGAGAGAACAAAACCTTTATAAGTTCAAAACATGATAGATATCATGTGCCCATCCACCAGCACACACACACAAAAATAAATTACAAAAAACACAAATCTAGTAAAAACGAGGCTTGGGCCAGAAATAATCAAACAAAAGATACTCGAATGTATATGAGCTTCTGGGCTGTTATACTTTTGAAACACCCAAGCTATTCTAGTAATATTGTCCAATTCAATATGTACCGTATATGTCAGCAATACACTGTTAATTAAATGTTTATTTTGCCCCACCCCACAGCAGCATAAGCTGAATGTCCTGCACGGTTGTTAAATGTTTGCATGTTGATCTCTTTTAAAAACCATCATCCGCAATACCTTTTCATAAAAATTTTTATTATCTTTACATTGATTACATTACATCAACAATAAAATCTTTTTAAGAAAATTAAATTACGCACATCACACTTAATTAGCCCTTTATTTGGGTATAGATTGAAACCACTATCCGTAAAAATCATTGGAGCGCACAAGGTCAGAATATTCCTATGCTAACGTAATGCTGTCGATGCTGCCTATTATGATTGTCAGCGAACAAACAAAAAAGAAAAAACTACATCACATCGCGCCTAATTAGCTCTTTAATTGGGTATGAATTGAAAACACTATCAGTAAAAACCATTCAGGCATGACTGGTCAGGATAATCTCATGCTAACGTAAACGTGCCACTGCTGACTGCCTTAGCTCGCTTTTTATTTCTAAAAAAAAAAATAGAAAACGACATCACGCAGGGGGGACAAGTAATTTATAGCTGAACACTTATTTATTCTATGATTTAGGATTGAAATTACTATCCGTGAAAATCATTGAAACTTACCTGGTCAAAATATTCTCATGCTAATGCAAGACTGTTCTTGCTGCCTCAACTAACTGTCGTGAACAAACAAAATATAGATATCCTATAAAGACATCGAAGACGTTTTTTTAATCAAGGTCACGCGCATTCACTCATGAACAAAGGTGATTGATCTCTGAACGAAGTTACGGCGGCCGCAAAAATGCTAAGGGCTTCTGAGACGACTGTGGCGTTAAGTAAAGATTAAAAGTTTATTCGAGAATCAATTGGGCAGTGGTGGAACAATATCAGCTTAGTGTCGTATGAAATAATTAATTTCAACCTATGGATTAAGGCCTTGTAACCTTTAATCTATCGAAAACGTTTGTCACGGCATTTCTTAACGAGCAGTCTGACATTACACTTGATCCTTATTGGCATTCAATAAATGCTATGCATGACGTAATAGACGTTACCTAATAACCTGAAAAAATGCGAGAAACCTTTAATTTTGAAACGTTCCAGATCATTTGTGACGTATGTTGCTATCTTCTAAGACTAGAAATTGGAACAGATAATCAATTTAGTGCGACCTGTAACCGTATTGATAAGGCTAAAGTTCCGAGTCCCAGGGGCGCGCGAAAAACATCAGAAAAAATAGCGTCATTTTGAAATACATGGACAAATCAATTGACTGATATGGCACTAAAAGTCGACAATGTCATCAAAATTACATACAAATGTTAAAAGGATTTTGTTGAATGTCATTAGTAGCAAATGTCAATTCAATGGTCGACCGTAACTTTGCTCATAAATGAGTCTCATCACACTTGAATTATCCCTTTATTTGGGTATGAATTGAAACCATTGTCCATGAAAATCATTGAAACGTATCAGGTCAGAATATCCCCATACTAACGTAAAGCCATCGATGCTGCGATGTTTATCAGAATATTAACCAAGCTTTGAGTAAATTTGTTTAATTGAAAAAGTTCAGAGAAATGCCGATTCTATTAAATTTTATTAATCTGCTAATATTGACCGTATCATTTTGTACTAGAAGTGAATCAAACCCAAACCTCATACAGTTATATGTTCCAGTTCCGACCTTAGTACCTTTGGGTGAGCGAACACGTACTACTTCTTTTATCAATACCTTTCCATCTAAAATCTGTACGTTTCAAACCTTACTCTAGGTTTTGTTCGCTTTCCCGATTCTATAATCAGTTACTTTTGTTTTTATCTATTTTTATCTATCTATTATCTATTTTCTATCGTCTATTGCTGATTATGGAGTCGAAATAAACTTATACTTATACTTATACTAGTACTTTGACGTCTATATTCGGTTTAATTCGCATTTCTTGTGCTCTCGTTATTTCAAGTAAAATGATCCTCATACCCGTACAAACTGTAACGGGCTATTCTTATCTTACAATCTACTTATTATGTGGCGGCTAAAATTTGCGTATCATGTATTTTCTGGGTCTGGTATAGTTTAGTACCACATGTACTTCTAGTTGACCTGGCTCAACAATTTTTGCATATGTCAATCCTAACCCCCACCGTCGACGTCACAGTGGCGTCATAAGGCCCACCGAAGTATGCGGATGGTCGTCCAAAACGCGCAGACGATCACCCGAAATCGAGCAAGCAATTTCTCTCGTTTTCTCGTCACAACGATCACGATAGGAGAGAGATCGCGCCGGCTTTAGCAAGTTCGTTATCGGCGGCGCAGATGACATTTCGGGCGATCGTAATTATACTTTGGCAATCCCTATGACGTGATGGTGACGTCGTAGTGACGTAATTTTTGGATGGCATAGTCAGGTGGGGGATAGGAATAGCATATGCAAAATTCGTTATGCTATGCCCACCGGAGGTACTTGTGGTACTAAACTATACTCGACCCTATTTTCTTTTGTATCATGCAAAGCAATTTTTCGTAGCTTGAAATGGTTTTGGGCCCTCAAGGATCTTACTGTCTTAAGAACCGACGTTTTGCGTTCTCCGGTCGGACCCGCTAGCCGGTGCTCCAGAAGTATGCGCAGCAAGATGTCACACAACCTGAATCCCAACCGGTACACACATACTATGTTCGGGTTGTGCGCCATCTTGGTGCGCATACTTCTGGAAGACCAGCTAGCTGATAGGGCCGAACTTGACATTTCCCTTAAACACTTTCATCTTCATCTCTCAACGACGAAACGACAAATATTATAGTTTCACATCTGAACAATATCGCAATTTAGGATAGATCAATGTCTTTTCTTCATTCTAATTCTAACTTGAAATACACTTAATCAAAAAAGTCAAAGGGAAGTAACTCACCACAATTACACAGCAAATAATAATTAGCCTACATCTACTCTGACACATTGTGACATAGGCTAGGCGGTGTGGCGCATCGTGCTAAGCGTTAGGAATACGCTCGCCACCGCATCTCTGACTACCCTTCGTGGGTTCGCAGGTTCGAATCTCATGCGAGGATGATCATGTGCTATAGGATTGCTGGACTCCTCGCCGCCGCTAGTCGGTTACAGCTTCCTCCACCATCAAGTCCATGCTTTCGAAAACAAATAACTGACTAACTAATCCCATACCCGAACTGGAATGGTAACCGGACGAGAGGCCGTGGTTCGCCATATGATTAAGCCGTCTTATCAGTTTTCCTCTCACCGGGGATAAATATGTAACTTCTATCCTAACCCTGCTATAACTACAATATCTGTCTAACTCAGGTTACTTAGACCCTGCTACTCAAAATCCAATTTGGGCATTTTATCCAACTTTGATTCAAAGATGACCAACGATATACATTCTATTCTATTCTTGATCCAGGGTTAAACATGTTATAATCACTATATAAGGGCATGATTAGGCAAGTTCGGGCCCGTCCTTTTTTATATTGTGACGTCATTGAGTGATTTAAGCCACCAATGATAAGAGTATGGCGCAATAGATAATGCATGACCGCTGTTGTAATATTATAGATGAAATAGGATTTTTATATCTTGTCCCGGAGAGGTAAGCAGATAATGAGGCTCAACCAAATGTCAAACGAGAATATCGGTCGAAGGGATCCCCAAAACAGCGCTTTTACTCCATAGTGACACCGTGTGTCCCATCACTAATTAATTAATAACTCGCTAATTATTCGACATAATTCATTAATAGGCTTCTGGTCCGAGATATGATGAATGCACATGCAAAATTTGGAGCAGATTCAACCTCGCTTTCATGAGATATCGCGTGCATCTAACAGGCAAACAGACAAATACCTTAAGATCGATAAGTAACCACGGTTTCTCGTCTGGTTACCAGTTTAAAATTGGTACTACCTGTCCATCAATTTTTCGATATGCTTCCTTGAATTCTGAATAGATCAGCTTAGGCTAAATTATGTTTGGTTTTTGCCCCTATTTTATCTGTTAAATTTAATAATTAATGCAATTTAATTACAATAAAAAAGGCTAAAACGATTTTTAAACTTGTGACTCAAATCTCGCATTTTTGCTTTAGAGGCGGGGGCTTTGTAAAAAAGATCCCTTACATTACTATAGAGCGCTTTCTAAACTTGCAACGAACATGAAATTCAACAAACACTTAAACAAACAACCTGTGCCGGTCTGTACCGTTACAAAAACTATACTTTAAGTAAATAAAATAACAGCCGAACTACTAATCCTTGCAAAGAAGTACGCGAAACAGATTTTAAACTTTTCAACAAGTATTTGAATTTCATGCTTATAGGCTACTTAGCCCTGGTATAAACATAACGTCTGAAACTCAAACAAAATTTTTTACGATGAAAATATTTTTCCCTCTCGCGACAACTTTGAACTTGATCAATCAATCGATCAATCAATTTTATTGTGGTTGGTTTGACATAATTACGATAATTAATTACCATAAAATCAGATCAAAGCGACTCATAAACTCGTAAGTCATAAATAAAAACACTAACATAACTATCAGTCGTGGTTACGCAAAACTGAC